TTGATTTCTTCTTTTATTTAAAATAAGTGTTATCGGATATAATAAAGAAACAATCAATATTATTTAATTGAGTTCTTAAAAATAATAAAGAATAGTTAATAGTTTATGAATGATATAATAAAAATAAAATTAATAATTTTAATTTAAATACCATAACTTATAACCAACACAATGGAAAACCAAGAAAAGAGTAAAACAGTACAACAAACAGTTTCAGAACTCATCCAAACAGGAGAATTTAAGAAAGTTATAGAAAGGATAATAGAAGAACATGATCTGAAAATCTGTGACTTAGAGACAAACTTAGAAATAATATTAACAAAAAGTAAAATAAAAGAAGGTGCTATTAAGTTCATTAAAGAAAACATCAATAAAATTGATGAAGAAATTAGAAAGATAAAAGAAGAAAATGAAAAAACAAGCAAAGAACTTAAAGGGCATGAAATTCAAATAGATGAAAATACATTAAATATAGAAGTACAAAATTATTTAATCAATAAAATTATGAAAGAAATAAAGGGCGAAAGAATTAGTGAAGAAAAAATAAAAGAACTAGTAGAAGAAGAGTGCAAAAAGAGGTATCTTCAGAAAAGAAAAGAGAAAAATGAAAGGAGAGAAGGGTTGGCCAATACCTTAATAAAAGAAGTTGATAAAAAAATTATATTACCACAGGAATTGTCCCTTACTAAAAGTCATATAGAACAAATAGAAAAATGGACAGAAAGAAGAATAGGAAATATTCTATTTGATTCAGATGTTGATGATTGGAATCAGAATACATCAGTGTTTTGTGAAAGAATAATGTATAAAAAACATATAATAATTATTATTGAAGATACAAATGGAAATAAATTTGGAGGATATATTAATGAGAAAATTAATGAAGATAATAAATGGATAAATGATACAAAATCATTTTTATTTTCATTAGAATCAAAAGGAAGAATAAAAGAAATGATGAAATTTGATATTAAACAACCAGAAAATGCATTTATAATGTGGGATAAAAATAACAATTATTTATTTGGTTTTGGAGTTAGTGATATTCGTATTGGTAAAATACAAAATAAAACAATATCGTTTTGTTGTCAAAGTTCCTTTGAATATAAAGGAATAATAAATGCACTTTGTGGAAAACAATGGAAAAGCTTTTTTACAACAAAACGAATTATTGTAATGAAATGAAATGATTTTTATTCATTATTATTTATTTGAAATATAAAAATAAAAAAGAATATAAAATAAAATCAATAAATGAATATGAGCAGCCATTTCTTTCATCTTTCAATAAATGAAATGATGAATATAAAAGTGTTCATATTTCATTCTTGTTTTATTTCATTTGAAATAATCACATTCAATGTGTTAATTTAATAAATAATAAAAAGAAATAAGAATAAAAGATAAATAAAAATATAATAAAATATTTATTTGATTCTTTTTTATTTTATTTTTTATTTATATTATTTTATATTTATTTATTTTATTCTTCTTCTTTTATCTTTATATTTATTATATATTTCTTATTTTATTATTTATGTTATATTCTTATATCATTTTATTCTTATTTTATATTTATTCACTATTACTCATTTCATATTAACAATGATAAATAACAATACAACATATAATAAATAAATGATATAAGATAAACAACAATAAATAATAATAATAAAATATAAACAAACAATATAAACAAATATAAAATAATAAAATATCATCTAATATAAAATAATAATAATAAATAATATATGAGATACTTAAATGAAATACTGAACAATTTCATTTTAATTCCATTCATTTGAATGAATATTTAAGAAAACTATTCACCTTTATTAAAATGATTCATATTTATAATAAAGATGATGAAATATTTAAAGATAAATAAAAAAGAATTAATATGATATTTAGTTATGTTGAAGTTATAAATTTGGTTATACTAACATTTCATTTGAACAATATTAATTTAATAAAATTATATTATATGTACTAGTATGTTTGTAT